GCTCACGGCTCACTAAGACTTATTGACTCAGACACTCGCGACCGCATGTGTTACAGCACCAGGCGCTTGATGTCAAAGGAGCATAACCCATTTGCCCTTGTTGCTTCCGCATTTGCCACTTCTTCTCTGCAAGCATGAGGGCTTTCTCCTGCATTTCGGTAACTACCTTCGTGATTAGATCGCGCCATGCACGCCGATTAACCGCCTTCGATGCCCATGACCTGCAATCAGGATTAGAACGTGAGAGGCTCACTCTGATCATGTCCTGGTAACGTAACTTTGGTTTCCCCACGTGCCGCTTCCCAATACTCAGCTGACCGTATAAGAGTTGTTTCGGTATCCGCGTTGAATCCATACGCCACACATGACCGAGCCACCTCAGGTGTCTCAGTAAAAGTATGCAGTCCACTGCATACATCCCACTTTGTCGCAACACTTCCGTGTCAGCAACTCTGTCGCCCCATCCGATGCGCAAAATTCGTCGCAGACATTGCTGATGGAACCACTCGAGATATCGCATATCGCGCCGGTACATCGTCCACGTTTCACTGCCGTATAGAAGAACGGACAGCACCATGGATTTGTACACCATCAGCTTGGTGCCCAACGGTAAGCTGATGGTTGTTCCGCACTCCGTACTCTAAGTTCCTGAATGCCGCCACTGCCTTCGAGACGCGGATATGAAGTCACTGGCGTCTACCACATATACAACGAATGTTACCTTCTCAGACAACAATGCACCAATCAACGCATTGTTGTCATCAAACCAATCAGGCCGCTTACAGTTTGCGCGCCCGAGGATTTCCTCGGCAGCAGCTATCAGCTGGTCGCGAATGTGGTTCCACAGGTCGTCCAGTGGGGTTATGAAGTCCACATCACACAGACGTACAGCGATCGCCTTCTCCAGATTAATACGTTCCTCCACAGTACCGAGGGAATGTTAGATTTATGCAGATTCACAGCGGGAGTGCAATAAATAGATTTACCAAAATATATGGATAGTTACGTCCGTATCAAATTGTGACCGGTGCCACACTCAGCTACGCGCAGGACTGGTGTCATACGCAGTTAACACACGTCAAGCTGACGTACAATGAAATAGTCGAACAGATGAGGGTGACCACTACGTGCGTGCTTCCAAGTTGCTATATCACTCGCACTCAGTGGGAACCGTGTGTTCTTGATCGTCAGGCTGCGAGTGAAACACAGTGAGAGCAGCCTGTCACTGTTCGCACTCGCTGAACCAATGCCAAGCGGACCGTTTACATCTGTCCCCACCGGTGCGTCATGCTCAACGCGCGCGTTGAAATCAACCAGCAGTAATGGTCGGTCGCTCTTCGGTATAAAACGTAACACGGATAATTAAGTGTATAATTGATCACGCGTGTCATCAGGATAACACATGGTCGGACCGTACGTGCTTATAAAAGTGGCAAACTTACCTCTTCCGAGTCGTAGGCGAACAGTCATCACTCGCGCGCTGATGCCTGTTGGTTCACCCGCCAACCGACCCCATGATCATGTGGTGCTAAGGTGGTGTTGCCCACCCAGTAGAACGTGTAGCCAGCACCTGCTTCATGCAACATACCTTGCTTTGCGAACTGGGTCTCACTAAGCGCCGCAATATGGACGTGGTAACGCGTCAATTCCACCGCGACCAGTGTAGTGCGTCGCTCGGGGTTTTCCCTCGAATTCCGGTCCAGTACTGGGTGCACGTTCCAGCACCCGATGCTGAGTGCTTTACGCGTAGGCATACGCTTGCATTGGTGGACAATGGCATGCGAGGTGGCCGTTGTGCTTCGGAGGTTTGCTTGAGGGACTTCACCAGGAGCCTTTGGTTCAGTATCCTGACCCACAAGGCAGTGTGGAGCAGATAAAGCTTGTTATTGTAACTGCAGAGACACATTGGGACCTGCATTTAGTCAGACACACGCAGACTTTGGAGATCGGGAACAATTCTTATATGTTTTGCGATCGTAGTGGGAGCCGCAGCTGAGATCAGGGCCAGGAGCAGGAGGGTATTGGCGGATTTGTACCAATTCGACCAGGGGTGACCTGGCTTGAGGCGGGCAGTATAAAATCATTGAGTACCCGGAGGTGCCCTCGCACCGTCAGAGACAACGCGTGGCGCTCGTGCTCTACGCGAATTGAACGGTAAGTATGTAACCCGTAGACCTGTTGTCTCCTATGGCTAGGTTTTACGGGAAGAGAGATATCGACCTTTTTCTAAACTCCGATTAGGATGGACAAGGATACTAGTAGGGCGCCCACACCTGACAGGAGAACGACTCGGTCCTCAGCCAAAGCCTTCGATTAAATTTATCCCCTAAATGTAGCGGGTCTAGAACATGGTCAGTTCACTGGCTCATATGGATTAGTGTCCTGGATCTTAACAGGGAGAAGGGGGTGACCAAACACTCACCCAGTGGTCACCAAGCGGAGGCGTCCAAGACATGTGCCCATGGCACAACAGTAGCAGCAGCGGGTAGACAATCTGTCAGGATCTAGCCATCACCAGTCTCAGTACACCACAGGCTCCCCCGCCTCCCTTCTTCAGGTTCACACTTAAGGTAAACGACTGCCGTGACACTTAGATTAAGGTGCCGGAATATGCTCTTTTTCCTGATATCCTGAGGTTGTGCTGGGCGATAAACTAGTAGCAAATTTAAAATACAAATGTATATAAATACCCATTCATGCACATACTTGTATTTTAGAATTGATACTGGATAACTTCACTGCACAACTACATGATATCTGGCAAACGAGCACTTCCGAGCTCTTCATGTCATAATGACACTGCAGTCGTTTACATCGATTGTGAAATCGTAGACATGCAAAATGTGAGGTCTACGTCAAAGAGTACCGAAGACTAAATAGAGATTGCGGGTCGCAATCCAACTACTCAGCTGGTACACTAAATGCCACTTGGAATCCTTTATCATTGTGCCAAGCGTTGCTCGCGAACCTAGGAGTCATAGTGGTCAAGATGTCAACCTTTGAACACTAGGCCTCGAGGTTCCCCCTAGCTCAGGCAATCTCCATCTGCTGAGTACAAAGGAGGACGAAACCGGTTATGGGGTGTCAGGACTGGGAGGGGCCACACCGAACCATCAATTCGTATGCGGTCCATGTGATCGTATGGACCGAGGTTTACGTCAAAGAGGACCTAGGTCTAAATGGAGACTGCGAGTCGCAATCCAAGTACACAGTGGTTACGTCAAATGCCCATTGGCACACGTGCTTTTGAATTTTTAGCAAACTAACTTATTGGCGCTCTGCATGACATTGCCTGTAAAACTCTCCATATAATAAGGAAACCTTGGTCTTTTTCAAGGCTTCCAACCCTGGAACTCCTTTCCAAAAACATTTAGGAATGCATCCACTTTAGGTATTTCCAAACTACCTCCGTACAGGTCAGTTTCTTACAGCCTGTTATAGAAACGGATATCCGAAAATGGTTTCCCGTTAGATTGTTTTTTTCATATTTTACTCCATGTTGTGACATGTAAGTGCAGACGGGTGAGCGCTTCCTATTTTCTTTACAGTAAACATTAACCATGACAAGTTGATGCCACCTTAATTATCTAACTCTGTTTTCAATATGACGTTGTCCCATCGCTTTACCGAGAGACATTTCATTTTTGCATGTTTACTGTTCTACCCTGCATTTTTTCGCTTACGAACCTATGACATACGTTAAGCTCATGCTTCTTCCACCGTTATAAACTATTGTCCCAGTCGCACCTTACTAAGGTTTTTCGGCACCGCATATTTGAACACCTGTTGCGCTTTGGTAATGAATGGTCGCATAGTGATTAACGAAACGCACTCATTTTGGTAGTCAACTCCTGTAGTAAGGTTGCCAGTTTTCCTTTCTCCGTCCAACCTGACTTAGTGTGACGCACTTGTCACCAATAATTTTTGCGTGATCCCCCTCTCAATTGGGAATTGCACATGATCATGTGGTTGTGTCAAGTATCATTCTATCACAACAATTACTGTCGGTGTATAGAATGAATAATGAACAATGATTTATAACGGGTAAAAAAGCAGGTGCTTGACATGTCCCGTAGGGTGCTTAGCGTGACAAAAAAAAGATAGCAAAGGGATAATGGAGTCGTCAGTTCATGCGCTTACAGATGTAACTGCATTTTCGTATAAAGGGTGTTTGAAATGAGAATGTACGCACACAAAGTAACATGGGAGTGATTATTGTTCACATCATAGGCGAGAAAAATAAAAAAGTTGGCAAGGACAACGCCTACTCGTGTGCAACTATCTCTGGTCGACAAAATGCAGAAATCCACTTTCTATAGTAGTAGCGTTTATCAAATTTCGTGCAAAGCGTTTGGAGTGAGCCATTCTGGAGTAGCGTTTTGGAACTATCTCCTGTCGGTTGTGCATTACTGCCAGCAGCTGGTGGTCATGAGCTATAGCACGTAGTGTAAATGTGACAGAGTGTCGTCAAGGCGTATTTTGAAAAGGGATAAGGTGGGTGCATTAATTACATGTTCCGGCAGGGCGTTCCAACGCTGTGCCACTAGAAAGGAGAAATAGTTTCGCCGACATTCCAGGCGACTGTACTGCGTGACTAACTTAAACTGGTGATGTCGTAGCTAGGTGTTTTGACTGAGTATCAAAAGGGAATGGCATGGGTGGTTGGGGTCTCTCAGGATTAGGTACACCATTATGAGATCGCCTCTTAGACGCCGATAAGGTCCACTGTATGTTTTGAGGGTCTTCAGCCTGAGTGGGTAGGGGACGCTGGTCAAACCTCTGATGCTCTTCGTTGCCCTACGTTGTGCAGTATCGAGCGCGGTGAGATGGTGCTTGAGCCAGGGTTGCCACACTTGGATAGCGTATTCCGCGTGCGGCCTCACGTACGCACTAAGCATTTTTGGAAAGATTGAAGGGTCAAACTTCCAGAAGGCTCTGCGGTGTATAGAAGGCATTACAGAAGGGTTGAAGAACAGCATTATCCCAAGGATTACCACGGATTACGGCAGTGTTCCAGGACGTGATGGTGGCAAGCCTTCTCCCTATAAAAGCCACAAATGTCCACTTAACAACAATACAACTTGACGGATGTGACTCGCCACAGAATAAAATCACAGCTGAAGATTTCACACTGACGTAGTCATCAGACATCTACATACAACCAGTGCAACTGTCTTTAATGGAGCACCCAACCTTTCGAGCTTTTAACGGACGACGGTTGCATCGAAATCTTACGTTGGCTCCTGTCCTCATGGTTTACTACATTGCGAAATCACGCCCAACTTGTATATTGACACAACAGTTATGACTGATTTTTACGCGCCCCAGCGCCATCATGTTCCTTGGTCGGACTATTACCCGACAAAATGCTCACTCGTATGAACTACAACATCTTTTCGGTTCTACCTTTCATTAAAAAGAAATGTTTTACTATTCCAAAGCAACTATACTTGTATGCATATTTTACCGCACCTTCACTGGTGCGCCTCGTTTTACCGTGAACTTACCATGTATGTATTTATTTATTTAGAAAATTCTTCACGTTCATGATACTGTCCAGTAGTCTTTAAAGTTTGAAAATTAAATGAACTTTCACGAATCATGCGGAGACTATCCGTGAAATTTAAGAACGATGATGCATTCGATTGCATGTCAACATTCAAACTCACTCTGTCCAGTGTGTAAACATCATAATCACCGGGCGGTTGTAACACCGGTCTGTCGGGTTGTAGTCGTTCCGAACTCTTCCCATCCGTCTGGCTATGGCCTGTCGCCTCAGGTAAACCCCCTCTCACGTTTGCTCGCTTGCGGCTAACTGTACTGAATTTGCCTGTGAGCAATCCGGCGCCGTATGACTTCGTTTCCGACAGTTGTTTTACCAGTCTTCTGCAGGTCGATTGTCTCGCAAACAGATGGAAAACTTGGGGTCTGGCAGTCCACACCGGTATTCCAAGCTCTGCGGCAACAGCAAAGTCATCTGGATGTGCTCCCACTCCGGGGACGATAATAGCTGGCCGCCCGACGATGAAAGATCGAATATTCTTGAGCGCATTGGAACTATATTTCAGTAGACTCGACAAGCACAGCGGAGGTGCAGCCGGAGACTGGGTAAGTAGGATAAGGGGAATATGTCGATGTTGTGAGATGGAATATATCGGAGTATATATATGTAGTACAGGCAAAAATGTAAACGCGCGATAATCCCTTTTGATTGGGAATACCAAAGAAAGCAAATTAACGCATAAAAGATAGCATGTGTTAATGAAATCACTGAGGATTTCGCAAAGGGCACACTGTACTTTTAGATCGTAGTTCACCGAAGTCGTATTGAATCCTGCAATGTAGATGGAGTGGTATATCACCAGATTGCCTTTTGACTTCAAAGAATATAGTAGCTGAGCTAATGGAAAGTTGAACAGCGTTTCACGAATGGCACGGACAAAGAGTGGAAACGTCCCGGTGGTATTCGGACCGGGTATGCTCTCAGGCTGACCTGATTGGTGCTCACTTAGGGAATGTTGAGACCGTGTTTTGATGACTGATGATATCCGTAGTTATGGTCCATAAAACCGCGATACACCCCACAGCAAATTCTTGGGGGGATTTCTGATTAGTTTCCTTTTGTTGTGCCTCTCAAGTCCATTGAAACTTGCTTTTGTCAATGCTATGCGACGGGTATGGTGTACTCCAGCCGCCAAAAGACGATCACACGAAATGGATCGATTTGCTTATGCAGACTTATGCTAGCATCAAGTCGGAGTCCATCGGTTCTCCCAGGTTCATCATATAAATGAACAAGCCTGTCTAGCAAATAGTCTGTGTATCCTAGTTAAAAGACTGTACAGGGTAATTTCCGCTGGCTCTTCAATACGTTACACTGTGTCCTCTGTGTTCGTTCGTGAACACCTAGTCTGACGTTCTGACTGAGCAGATAGTCGTGTGAGTGGTTAGTGGCATTCTACGTTTGTCAGGTAATTGCACGATAACCATATAAGGAACATTGTTGTCCTCTATTTTCGTTCCTAGCTATCATGGAGAGCGGGAAAAGCAAGATTACCTAGATTCTGGTCCATACGTGTGGATGGCGTATATAGGCTACATTGTTACTCCGGACCATTCAGTTGGAAGTTTAACATGAGCCACCCTCCTGAATAATCCCATACAAGTTTGTAGAAACCAAACTACATCAGAAAGATCGCTTATTACACGTTTAACTTGAAGCCATACTTGCTGCAACATTTGGATTGTGTTGAAGTCGTTGATACGCTTGGGCTAGAAGCACGCTGTGTTGTGGTATTTTAACGTTGTTGTTTCTAAGTGTTTGTAAATAGTACCGTATTCCAGTGCCGGATCTGTTGCTCTTGAATTCGGTGAAAACGAGTTTGCTACGGTCTTGTGCGCATGCCTAGTCGAGGCACATTCTTGGTCCAGCGCAGTGTTATTCCTGTGATGCTCTCAATGGCCGAGAATGGTGCAGAAGTACTACGATGCTCAAACTCAGTGTTTTATGCGTCGTTACGAATGGATGCACCGAATCAATTTATGTCAATTTGCGTAGATCCAAAAAGACTCCAGTGGTGAACCCCACGGAACGCAGTATTCTTCGAAATTTTCAGTACGTCATTGTTTATTGCGCACTTACTGCTAGGAGCATGAAAACTTTGGTTGTTATTCTTACCTCCAAACCGAAGTCATACACGTTTGCACTATGAAGGTCCATAAGGATTAATATTCTCCCATTGGGATCGTGGTGTATCATGCACGACTGTTGGCCTTTATGATTAAAGTCCATTAGTGCTGACATTCTGCAATTGTCTACGCTGAGACTGACGAATGCCTCAATTACCAGACGCGTGGATGCAGCTTACCATGCGCTTTAGGAATTTTCCATTACTAGGTTCCAGTATCTACACAGTGACCGGAGCTCAAAAGCATGGGAACACGTTCGCTCGTCTGTTGCGGCAACGGTGGCGTTTTGCTTTCTCACCCGCTGGGGCTTCATAGTTCATGTGGACCTACTGTCCAACCTGAGTGCGACTCTTATTGCTAGTGACCTCGATTTGTCTTCAAACATCTACGTGAGTGTTGCACATTGCGAATATCAGACCGCTCATGAAAAACATAGGCCATCCTGTCTACCCTACACTGGATGCGCAGTTGAAACGCCGCAATGTCCGAACATCTAAACATGTGTGTGTGAATGTGACGGATCCAAAGGAACATTGATGAATCTTTTGAACTGGTCGGCTATCCTCACGGATTCGTTAACATGCAATCCTATCTGGTAGCTAGTTGGTGAATTGTAGTTTCCGATTTACATTAGTGCTCCGTGAAATGCTGATTTTGATGATTGGTGATTTTGTGAGTGGTGTAATATTGTAGAAAGTAGAAGCCACGATTAAACTTTGCACAATAATCGGGCTGATTGTTGTGTATCGAGTATCCGTCGTGGACTTGCAGTTTGATTCCATTGGGAGCACGTCAGTTCCAGGCTACCAAAGGTTTGCTACTTACCATGTCCTACATTCGTTCTTGTATTCGAGTGAAGAATTGGATGTCGTGAGCAACAATTATCCCTGGAGCCCTAGTACCCTACAAACGCTTCCTTGGATTAGAGTGCCGTTTGAAACCTCGGTGTTCAAAGCCCAACAACTTTCCTTTCATGTATCCACACTTTGGCTCGTCCGTGTAAAGTGACTAGTCCCGGCAAATAACCGACTAGCGATTTCCCTGCTATTGATACTACATGTTCTGTTCCACATATTAGTCATGAAAGTGAGCATAGCGATATGTTCCGCCGTTTATCCGTTATACTGAACCTAGGAGCGGTTAGGAAAAAGCTGCTATTGTCTAAGTAAGAGGTGGAAGGGCAAAGGTGCCTGCTACAATTTGAATGAGAAGTGGCCAACCTTCTGGATTGCCTTAGAAGTAGGTAAGTTCAACTGTGACGGTACGGTAGTGCTTTAGTATAGTTCATTGAAAAATAAATCCAAGCACAGAAACGATTGCTTTGTAGCGAAGAATGGCTGAAATCGAGATATATGCTGACAACTTCTCATTAAGTATTGTAGCGGCAAAGTTAGCATGAAAACCACGGGCTGGATGGCAAAATCATGCGTCATCTAACGACACTATCAGAGCCCTCTGCTGAGGCTCTTGATACTCATTATTTGTCTACAAACATGTGAATGGACTTCGCAAGGTGCAACGGGGAATCCCACCACTTAATACGACCAATGGGTATACACATACTGCGAAGGAGGCGGCCAACGCATTACGGGCCCAGTACTCCCCAATCTTCCAAGGTGTAAAAGCCTCGACGTATATTCCGCCACTAGTTACCCCACCGTCCGTTTTATCCAACGTCACGTTCACTGCAGAAATGGTGCTGCAAAAGCTGCTATCCTTGCGTCCACACAGCTCTCCCGGGGCCGATAACATTCACCCGAAAACATTACAGGTAGCTGCCATCCACTTGGCCGAATCTCTAGCTGCATTTTTTCAGCGCTGTTTCGATGAGAACATCATACCTTCGAGGTGGAAACAAGGTGTAATAACGCCAATATACAAAGCAGGAAGTCGATCGGATCCTGCCAATTACCGCCCCGTAACGCTTCTGCCTGTGATCGCCAAAGTCATGGAAGCGGTGATAGCAGATGCGTTAATGGGATACTTGGAAAACTACGGCATAATTGCGCCAGAACAGCATGGGTTTCGTCAACATCGTTCATGTACGACGAATCTGCTGATAGCTCGTGACAACTGGACCGAGACTGTCGATGAGGGAACAGGAGTCGATGTTGCATTCTTGGACTTTTCGAAAGCCTTCGATCGCCTGGATCATCGAATCCTGCTCATTAAACTCCAACAGTACCGTATCGGAGACCCGTTGTTAGGATGGATCGGTAACTTTCTCTCTGAACGGCAGTTAGAAGTTAGAGTTCGATCATCCTTTTCCGATCCGATTCGAGTGGGATGCGGCGTACCGCAGGGTTCGGTACTTGGACCTCGTTTGTTTCTGCTTTTTATTAACGATCTAGTAAGAGTTATTACGTCGAAATTCTTACTCTTCGCGGACGACCTCAAGGTTTGGCGGGCGATAAAACGATCGGACGACCACGAAGTCCTACAGCGTGACTTGGATGAGGCCTGGAATTGGTCGGTGAGAAACGCCCTGCCGTTTAATGTGGACAAATGTCGCGTTGTTCATATCCGCCATCGACAAGTCCACGTCTACAAGCTTGGGGCACACGATCTGAAGACCACCACTCAGGAACGCGACTTGGGTGTGCTGGTACAGGAAGACCTCGGGTGTTCCAAACAGTCAGATTCCGCTTCTAAAAGGGGCAACCAGCACGTTGGACTCCTGCGAAGAGCATTCGGAATTTTGGATCCATCCATCTTCTCTTTGATGCTGAATGCCTACGTGCGTCCTCACGTCGAATATGCAATTCAGGCCTGGCAACCCTGGCTAAAACGTGACCTTGCAGCGCTTGAGACCCCACAGCGTTGAGCAACGAAAATCGTCAAGGGCTTGCGCCACACTCCTTACCATGAACGACTGGAGATACTCGGAGTGTTCAGCGGACGGTACCGGCGACTTCGTGGAGACCTCATACTAGTGTACCAGATATTGAGCGATCCCAGTCACGTATGCCGCCACCTCTTGAAGCTCAGCCCGAACACTAACCTTCGCGGTAACAGTTTAAAGCTGAGCCAACAGTACAGTCGTCTAGACTGTCGTAGAACCTATTTCTCCCTCCGGGTCTGCGGGCCCTGGAATGCACTTCCAAACTCAGTAGTTTGTGCCCCCACATTAGATACGTTTAAAAAACGATTGGACGTCGCACTGAGCGCCCTGCGCTTTGTTTTATGAACGAAAACGCTTGTATATATTTAGGCTGACCAGCCTCTTTGGATTTATACCCCAAATTCACGGTCGTAAATCTGTGCGAACCGGTGAGTACTCCATTTTTATTTGCTACCATCACCAACGATAACAATTTCTTAGCCAGTTTTGCGTCGTACCACTTTATCCCCCTAAAACTGTTATACTTCTACCTTTTATCTCACTGACACTCCTTACTTCAACCACTTATGTGGTTTGCCAATTTGTTAGTATTTCTGTTGCCAACCTGCGGGACTCGTTAAGTGTATGCTTTTTTACCCGTCATATACCATTGTTCCATTGTTCCATTGTTCATGCGATTAACTATGCAATGCTCAATGTTTTCATTGCAAATCGTGCCATGATTATGGAGGTTTGCTTCGGATAATCTTAACTGACATCTAATCCTACGGCCTATTGCGACATACCTTGTATTCCTAGCCATGTCTAAGTGGATACATTCCTACTCCGCTGTTAGATACGATCGCGCCCATACTGTGTAACATGCCAAGGTGTCACACCACATATCCACTTGAAACCTTGCCCAGCAGAGCGGCTCATCCCCGTATTAGTCCATTCATTCCCCATTTGCCCGGAGACACACTGTACCCACCATTCCATGCGGTGTAGAAGGAACCAATCGCTTAGGGTTGTTGGACCAACTAAAAGAGATGAGCCAATTCCGCCCAGGACTTTGTGTTGTGATCGTGTTGAACAGTGGCAATTGAGGTGATTTGCCTCCTTTCTTTACCTTGCATAGACCCCGTTGTTATGGGACTGTGGTAGATACATATTGTACTTGAGTTCTATTTTGGTTAACTGTACCGTAATTTACGTCTTGGATTCCTTTCTTGCTTGGACTCTGGAGATTTACGTGTTATTCGAGCCTTAAGCAAAAGTGTCGCTTATATAAATAGCTTACGCCACAGGAGAATATACAGCTACATCTGCCTACGAATGTGCAATTGGATATTATGCAAGCTACTTCTTTTAAAGTCGGTAAAACAGTTTGAACACTTTTGCGAACGCCGAATGTAGGACAGCGAGCTGCGGGAATCATTAAATGTTTTTGCTGTGATGGAGTCAAAGAGACCATCAGAGAATGTGTGATAGTACCACCTACTAATGCATACAGTAGTCGACATCTACAGCACACACTAGCTATAAGACATCACTGTTTTATGGCACCACTTATTTGTGCATCATTCCACCTGGTAACCCTTATTGATTCTGTGGCACATGGAGGGTTTTGCACCGCTAATCGACAAGGTTAGAACTGTCCCTCAAAGTGTCAGATTGTAGGAGAGCCAGCATCAGAAGAGGACTATCATGAATTAGTGGGTGCAACAAACAGGGAAAACAGGCAACCGGTGGGACTGGGGGCCTGATTTTGCGGAATTGGCGGCCAGCAACTAGGCCAAAGAAACTGAAGGCAGAGAGCGCAGATAAAGAGCAGAACTACGTAGGTTCATATCTATATGTTTGGAAGTGAGCGGGTTATTGCGAACTATTTAACTCGTCAAGGTGGTGGCTGTGTAAGTTATCTGAAAATATCGCTCGCAGCAGCAACATTCGATCACCCAGTGTTGAACAATGTTCAGCAATCACTCTGGCTTACGATATCAGTTCATCAGCAGCAGCTGCTTATGGGATGTATATACGGCGCGTCAAACGGCAGCCAAGGAGACCTAGAGCTATGGACGCTTGCATTTGAATGCGCCGCTAGCGTACCATTTTTACATAAGATTATTGGAGGTGATTTCAATCTGCCTTCAATTTCATGGCCCATGGGAACCGCTCCTTTGAAATACCAAAATCTTATCTCCTGTATCCAAATGAATGGTTGGTGGCTACACGTCTCCCAAGCTAACAGTGGTGAAAGTACTCTGGATCTCATTTTTTCATTGGGCATACCTGCAATCAGTGTTAAAGTTCTTGATGAATTTACGGGTGGCGATCATCGCGTGATCAAATGCCGTCTAGGGCTACGTATGGCCGATATACAGCAAACAATGCATTACCGTCTGTTCAGTTCTGTCAACTGGGACTCTTTCAAGAACCTAGTTGGTTCGATGAATTGGGATTACTTTATTCTCTCTTCGTGTCCTTAACATGCAACGGACCTGCTTTTATAGTATAATTGACTTCTGCATTGATTCAGCAGTATCCCTAAAATGTGCTTACCAGACTAAACATAAATCCGGTCGCAAGGCGTTGAAGGCAGTACGAAAGCTTCATAAAATTCGGCAGAAATTCAAGTTAACTGCTGACTTTGCACTATTATTACAGCAGTCGAAGATCGTCGAAGAATAGAGGCATCAACGTGACAAAACTCTCATTCTAAAAGAGCATAAAGCTTTGAACGGCCCTAGCAAATCAGCTGAGCTAGCCAAACTATTCCGTGTCCGGGGTTCACGTTGCAGCGACAATCTCAATTTTATCACCACGTCTGATGGAAAATACTACGTCACACCAGGTGATATCTGCGAAGCTTGCAGTGCTTATTTTGCCGAATCAACGCTCAATGAACCATCAGACACACCAACACTTATCATGCCGCATAATAATGAAGGTCTATGCGCAGTGGAATTCATTATAACAAAAATCACTGGTCAAGTCTCTCGCTTATACTCCTCAACGTGCGCTGATCCTAATGGGCTCCCCCTTGTTTAATAAAAAGCAGTGGTAATGACTGCATTCTGCTTTTGCTCAACATCTTTACACTCTCTTTTAACAACGGAGTATATCCTAATCAATGGAAAAGCTCAGTCGTTATTCCGCGACATAAAAATAGCGTTGACCACGAGGTTAAAAACTTTCGTCCCATCAATCACACACCCATCGTATCTAGAATAATGGAAAGGATAGTGAAAGATGAACTATTTATATTCTTGAACAAAGCTAACGTCATCAACAATTCGCAGCACGGCTTCATGCAAGGTCGATCCTGCGCAATGACTTTTCAAATCACACAACGGCTGCTATTGACAACGGAAACAGTGTCGTAATCCTGTTCCTGGATATGCAAAAGCCTTTAATAGAGTGCCTCACAGAAGGTTACTAACTAAACTGAATTCTATAGGCATTGGAAAACCGATGTATTTTTGGCTGTCTTAATATCTTATTGGTAGACAGCAGGTGGTGCGCATTGGCGACCATTTATCTAAACCGAAAGCAATCACTAATGGAGTGATCCAAGGGAGTGTTCTTGGTCCTCTTCTTTTTCTAATTTATATTAACGATATATTCCAGAGAATGGGAAATGGCGTCGCATTTATGTTTGCTGATGACATTAAAGTTGTCTACTCACAACCATGTGCAAATACTCAGGAAGCCGAACGTCTCATTCAGGATGACCTATCTGCCCTTGACTCCTGGTGCCAATTGTGGCAGATGTCATTTGCTGTGGACAAGTGTAATATTTTGTCGTACAAATGCCAAGTACCATCAGACAGCTTATTGCTACAAGGCGAATATAGCTCACAATACAGGGCAGTTCGCGACTTGGGCGTGCGATATCCAGTCACGTTTATCTTTTCTGAACACTGTGACTTTCAAGTTTCGAAAGCCATGAAGACCATCAGTTATAACTGACATCATTTTTACCTCACGGAATCTCGCATATCGCTTTAGAAAACATATGTATTGCCGTGTATGGAATACTGTTCGATGGTACAGTCTAATCTGCGGAAATCTGAATAGTGCGCTCTTGAGAGCGTCCAGAGACGATTCACGAGAAAGCTATGTGGATATTCCTCAAAGCTGACATACAGAGAGCGATGTGATAAACTTGGATTTGACCCAGTTTGGCTTCGGATAATGAAGCTGAACCTACGTTTTCTTTACAGAATCATAAATTGTCAAATTCTCAGTCTTGAAAACGGTGTTCAGATATCTGTAAACAACAGATATCCAATACGTAACAAAGAGGTAAAGGTCATGATTCCAAAATGTACTACGAGAATCAGAGAACGTTTCTTTCTAACCCAATACTCAAAGATTTGGAACAAACTTCCAAGTGATATCAGAACATGCTATACAGTTTGCAATTTTAGCTTGTGATTAGTAAGCATTTAACCGTCCAAAACGTGATTAAGATGTTCGGGACATCGCAGTCCCTAGATAACGCATTCGAAAACGGTATGCATGGCGCCTGAATAAATTTTCGAAACATATGCAACATTTCGGACAACGGCCCCTTCAATGACATTTACTTTCTCGGCCCGAACAGCTGTCATGTGATTATGAAGAATCCTGGTTCAATGACGGGAAAAAATAACAGAACGACTCAGATTACTCTGTGTTACATAAGTCATAATTGCGCCCATGTTTATTTCTGAAAATGTGTTAACGAAAGGTCATATAAAGGTTGTACCATTATTTGATCTGTGTATTTTAGGGAACGGCTTCTCACCTCGTCGAGGAATATGTAATTTATGTATCTATTTATTTAACTGAACTAACGTTGTAGTTACTTTTGTGCTGAGCTTTCAGCTAAGCTTTAGTGTTTTATGGGAATCGATTGTATACTCGAAACTGAGGTAGAACACAATGAGTATACACACTACGGATGGACTCACTTGGAATTGTTTCACGGCCTCTGGAACAATGATCCGGAATCGAGTGCTTTGCGAACAACGGTCTTTCTCCTCTCCTGTTCGAATAGCCCCCGCCAAGCCCAGTAGCTGGTCGTAATACTCCAACAACTCATCCGGGATGGAGGCTCTGGTAACCAGGACTACATGTGTTGTGTGTCCTAAATTGAAAAGTTCTGAATAGCAGTGTGTGGAAAATTTATTCTGACCGAAAAGCGGACACTGAATGTGTCTTGGTCGTAAGAAATTCGCAAACTATTGGTCTACACTAGACTTGTCAATGAGCACATTAGGCCGGTATTCTGTTATCTTAGTTGCTCAAATCAGATTGCAATGCAACGGATGTGACGTGTGTCCAGCTGACCCATAGTACGGGGCATTCAGCGACATGTCACATGTCCTGATGAGTTTGGAGCAATTGACTGTAGCTCTAGAAATAGAGAGCTCGCGCAGCGTAACAGAACAGCACTACTTGCTCCAGAACGGCCGTGAAAAAATTGCTAAGGTGTCATGTGCGCGAATGACTTCGATCCTTTTACCTCAGCTGTGCCTAGTTTGGTTATCACTCACACCAACCAGTCAATTATCATACACGCCACCGGTCTCGCCAAGCGTGGTCCGTGAGTCGTGTATATCCCTCAACTCCACTATTCTTCCATTTGGGATTTTCCCCCCAAAAACTTCAAAATAACAATAAGAAACAACATTTCTACAGAAAATTCTGAATTCCGTTATTTTGTGTCTTTTCGTCAGCTGTGTACAGCCAATCTGTGGAATTAATATGTTGCGCACACAACCTGCTATTCAAGGGGACCAAAATGTCACGTGATTCCCACGTCTCCGCCAGGCTATTAAGAAATGCTATTATGCGGCCTAGATAGTACTATTAAACCAAGTTAAAAGTTGTTCCGCAAGTCCGACCTGGACTAGCCAGAATTTTAGGTTACCGCCTCTTGTAGCTTGCGGTAGCAAGTACGTGGGCCTGACTGAGAGGAGGTTGTCCAGGAGGATTCCAAAACATATCTCACGTAACTTGGTGGTAAATGGCCCTAGACTGACCACATGCTCCATCGCTCAGCATATCCTTGATTGTCCTACGTGCTAACAGCCACGGGAATCGTTCAAGAACATTAGTCGACAGAGCACTGCTCGTCTACCAGTTTGGGAGGCTTCGGCGATTCGTCGGCTGAAACCCTATGTATGGAAGCAGACGGAGTTTGTGGTTACCCTCGCCTTGTCCTAGTGAGATTATCGATTGCCCTTATTAAAACAGAACGATTTAACACATTGTCTTAACGTCGTGTGTGCACGATAGTTATCCCACACAGCCCGTACACAGCCTATATTCTTGCAGAGTTTGTAACAAATCGCAATGAATCACCGCTTCATTTCGTGAGAAATGACCATTGATTGCCTAGCCCCAGGATATACGCAAGCCCCAGGTCCAAAGCAGACAACTGTTTGCGATTTCTTCACTATCAGGCCAACCACATTAATATGCGCTGAGAATGGCCAAATTCATTCAAAAGTTCAGAGTAACCATTAATTAGACCTTGATTAGACAGAATTAAACGGCTCTCAAATTACATTTACTCTACTCCAGGACTAAACCCTTTATTGTTGGATAGGTCGGAACAGGTGTTTAACATTTGAGAAGACGGCTCCCATAGTAAACATTAGCAGCGCTAAAAACGCACCGCATTAACGGAGACCAAACCACCAAGGCTTTCGTAGCTGAGTTGACAAACTATGTCAGCGAAGCTGAGAGGCTTTGTGACAATGCCGATTTTCGGCACTTTCCATACATCTAGTTTGAGTCCAAGTGCTTGTTTCTCTACGCGAAGCAGTTGGTAATTTTGGAGAACGCTATTAGTTCGGGATATGGACGTGGTCGATGGGTTGTTCTACCAGCTAGGTGGCTTACTTTTTGAACTTCACGATGTTACCTAATCTTGTGGCATAGCTTGCAAATCGAACACTCCGTTTAAAGTACGATCCAACATTCTTAGCGGCAAATTGGCTAGTGAGTAAGGGTTTAGAGAGAAAACATAATCTACCCAAGGTAAATCGATTGCCCTAGATACAGGAAAATCGGAAGACGTAATTGGTATAATGAAGCCACCATGTTTTGCATCATTATCATTCACAAACATACAACAGCGATAGGTAAACGAAAGTAATGTCATGTGTGATCGTAGATATTTAAGCGCTTCCGCTACCAGGGTAGGTTCAGAGCTACAGTCAGCCGTTTTGCAATGTATAGCTGTGCGTTTTCGCGGTCAATAACGGTGTCCTTCGGTGTCTTAAGAAGTTAGGGTTACTGATCACGTATTAGGACTGTAAAGGACTTATTGGAGTGACTCAGTAGCCGGTGGTCATCAAATGTTTAGTGACTATGGAAGCAGCTGGGGTTCCTGGTACTACCAGTTATTTTGTCACAGATCCCAACAGACTGCGTAAACGTTTGAGGATCTGTTTGTTGATTCTGACACCTAAACTTCGGTCAATGGGCTCAAAGTAGCTATCTCCACAAACACAAGTGTTTGATTGTAAAGCACCAACTGTGTGGATGGACTGCGACAAATAATCTAGCAAATGAAACTGCGAGTAACTAGGAGGTGATACCCGGCCAATTTGCTCATTGGAATCGTTAAGTTTTTCCAGCTCTCGACTTTGCTTTACACGACGATTTCCGTACTTGTGTATACTTTTCAGGCAAAAACAGCAAACCTGTTACTCTGCTTGAGAATTACGGACCACTGGCTCATTGCAATGCATCTGTCTAACCGCGTAGTGAGAAACGGTGGCCATGACGGTTAACGACTGATTGTGGATTTATTTTCAATTGCTCGTTGTGTAAATGCGATGGGACAAGCAATCACCCTGTGAACCGCTACTAAAGCTGAAGGGCTCTTCCACCAATTCGATCAGTGGTCGAGGATCAGAGACCGGTAAGTAATGCAACTGCCAAAGGTATCAATCCAATTTAACCCAAATAAGGTGATTGACCAATGCGAAAGTAACTCCGGTCTTAGCATCAGCAGTGTGCAAACAGGATGCATGGGAAGCGAGCGATACACAAATTTAGCATAACACAATTGTTCACGTTGTCGCGTTGAATGCATGCGACTCACCTCTGACCTCACACAAACGAGCGATTTGACGGACTTCCATGTGATGCAGATCCCCGGAATCGCGTAAGGAGCGTCGCATTTGTTCTGAGTATCCGACGGACGGGATATGGACAAACACGTGATCATTTCTGATGAACTCATCCCAGTTCTGCTCCAGAGTCTGCGAGTAACATAACGCAAGCATACGTCCACCGATATAAAGGTGAATTAAATCAGTTATTGGGTAACGCAGAACTATGCAATGAGCTAAAATGGGCAGCTATGCTACCATGGAAACTGAGTTTAGTCCACTTGAAATACTTTGTCTGCATGGGGTAACTGTTGCATCTTGATTTAAAGTATGCTGTATCCACAGCTTTTGCTCATTATTACGTAATTCCAATGGAAATTCGGTGCATTTTCCGCCTCCGCAACAACAGCACTTACTTACTCCAACTAATGGGTTTCTTACTGAGCATACCAAGAGTTTCGTCGGTCATTTCGAGACAATTGTGCGGTTATGTATATATGGCGTGATTATCATATATATATATATATATATATTTATTTATTTATTTATTTAACGGTCTACGAATAGACATAGAGCCACCAGAAATCATGGATTTCAAAGGAAGGTACAGAAATTGTAAAATAAAACACAACAAAACACAACAAAGTCTAAGTTTTTGTCAGAGGGAGAGGTACTACCCGGTTGCCCAAGCCGTAGTAGCGTGTTGACTTAGAGGACACTACCCCGAGCCTTTGGCTGAATAGCCTGTCCGCAAGGCAGCGGAGCGAATTAAGGGAATCGCGCCCATTGGGAGCCGGTGACTGATTGGTCAGTTCATAAGCCTTTCGTGTGTTCCTTTGTCAAACAGGGGCCTAATGCTCTGCAGAATTACAGTATAAGCTTGCTGGAATGCTTCGCCAGGATGAAGCAAGGGGCAGTGACATTATTTAGTGGCTAGTCACGTCCGCCATATCACAGTGTTATCATCTGTAAGGATAAATTTTTTATCGCGTGTATATTAGGTTGCACTAAAATCAAGCATCCTAGGATCTTCGGGAAGCTTCTCGAAGATTCTATTATTTGGGTATAGAAGGAAATACACAGTAACAATACTCTTAGATTGTTCATTAATCCTATATTTTGGCAGGGACAAATGATCGACATGATGTTTGCGGATGCTTATTGTACGAGTTCATGCAAGGGAGTGAAGCGGTCCAGACTTGTCGTTACATTCATGGCGTGCTAGACACAGATGCTCCAAGTTATGGTATGTTGGAATTTTGATTTCGTCGATATAAAGTAGGGGGCTATGAACCGTGGAACCTCAGAGGTCAAGGAAGCAAGGTAGGGGACTTTGTCAGCAGCATCCAGGACGCTCCAAAGGTGAATCCGAGAAAAAGTACGCTTGAAGTTTCGTCACTCCTTGGGCTTCAAAATCCACCGTTCCTCGCCATTTGCGACAATCCGGAATGGTAAAAAAGCTTGGAAGACTTTTGCCGCACGAACTGATTGATGCTTAGCTTTTGAACCGTTGTGTTCTCACACTGTCGTTTCGCTCTCGAGAACGCAATCATTGATGGTTGTAAGATGCCATTACTTGATACGTAAGGTGAATGTTCCATGTCTATCATAGCAGAAAGCAACAGTGGATCGAAGCGGATGAAATGCCAGTACAAATCCTGAAAGACGAACTGTACGGCAAAAGGTGATGCTCTCGATCTGGTTAGATTGCTGTACCGGAAACTATTGGGAACTAATACATGACAATTCCACAGTTATTGCCGACATCTAATGCCAACAACTACAAAAGATGGTCAATGAACACTGAAAAATGAATCCAAGAGGGGCTCGAATCCTTTTTCTGCATGACACTCCACCACCCCCATGTACCAAAGATGACATGTCTCGAGATTCAGCAGCTCGGCATCGAAACTCTTACGCATCCAGCGTATAGCCCGGACTTTGCTTCGATTGACCACTACCTCTTCCGCTCGCTGTGGTCACATAAAGAACAAGAGTATCAATGACAGCAACCACGTCGAAACGTACCTTGCCAAATACTTTGACGGCAACTCCAGCTCGTTCTATGAGAAATGCGTCGATAGCTTGCCTGAACTCTGGCAGCACATCATCGATGACAATTGCTGTTACCTGGATTAATTACTGTTGCTTGTTTAAACTAACCACTGGTTGTATAAGTGTGATTAGATGGTCAACTGAGTTCGGGGCAATCATTTCAAGTAATTATAGAGGACCAGTAGGGGGAGTTGAATGGTATAGGTAGAAATGCGTCATATCTAGGCTCACTCAAACAGCCATCACACGAATAGAAAAGCACTGTACGTGCGTTTTATCCTTTCGGCAATTTTCAGCAGTGCGCATTCCATCGAACCCTCAACTTGACTATTGCCAGTTCGTGGTTGAGACCACTTAGCTACGGAGGACGTCAAGGACTATCGTGAATAAGTTACTAAATGTGACGAATTTCTACCTACACCATTTGACTCTCCCTACTACTATTCTGTACTCAGTACACAGACCAAACTGCTTATAATGCTATAGGTCCGTTGGCGGGTTAAGTTTAGTAAGTTCGTCGCTTAGTGAGGGGGCTACCCTGTCCTCTGCACGGTAGTAACGTGCAAATCAGTGGATAGTGAGGGGCGCTTTACCACACCTAGTAACTTATTCACAATGCTCGTTACCGTCCTCCGTAGCTCAGTGGTCTCAACCACTGACTGGCAACAGTCAAGTTGCGGGTTCGGGCCCTACCAGTGTCCGATGGAATGCGCACTGCTGACGATTCCCGACAGGAAGAAACGCGCGTACAGTGCGTTTCCGGACGTGTGGTGGCTGTCTGACTGAGTCTAGTTGTGACGAATTTCTACCTATACCATAAGTTATGTCAAGACAATATAGGCTGTATGCACCCAGATGGGTGTAGGTTCAGCGTTTTGCACTACCTACCACAGAATCAGTAAATACAAGGATTTTGCAAGTGTAAAAACAGCATCAGAAAAGAATGCACAGATGTCCCTTGAGTAAATATTCCCGCAATTTTTTATCAGCGATCGAATAGTGATGTAAAGAATTATAATATATATGTAATAAATTTATTGAACAGAAATAATCTTTAAGGTTAACCCGTCATACCTTTAACCTCTGCTGCGAAAGAAGCGCTTGCATTGCTCGGGTCGCTAACAGAGACTTGCGAATCTTTTTGACCCAGTTTCTACGCAACCATGCAGCACGGATAATGTTCGCTGCAGCTGTCCGGCGTCTGGAAAAGTTTAGAGGAAGAAAGGGGTCGAATTGAGGTACAGTAGGATCGGGTAAATTAGAAATACTCCGTTGAAACCTGTCATAAATGTTTGCTATCTCTCTCTCTCTGTGTGTGTTTATCAATACCCAGAGTTTACCAGCTGTCGGATGGTGCAACTGTTGTCGAAGTTTCACTCCACGCGACCGGCTTCACTTTCATAATTGCTCATCTGGCGTACCTCTCCTCTGGTTACATCTCTATTGTATGTGCTGCATAAGCAACAAGTGTAGTTGGGCGGAGATTGCAATATGCGCATGAAATAAATCTCCATGCTTTACTGTCAACCTGTGTCTGACTGCGGTAACCCAATGGTAGTATCATTATTATCGCTTTGTTGTGGTTCTTCGCACTTCTAGGAGTGCAGTATTACAGGCCTGAGCGTGTGTGATAACTGGCGGCCATCAAAACTGGTTTCCTAACATCCCTTGACTGCGTTTGCCACATCAGTAGAACCACTGGACACTACAACCTACATGTATGTGTTGCCACAATGACTTAGTTTGAAAAGAAATCTTGGACCCGCATAGTATGGTAGCATGTGTTCACTATCATTGTGGGTACGAACCACCTAATCGATTGACATGCATAGATCAGCTGCTTTAAAAACATGTACAACGATAAATCGCTCGTGAGTGATGGACAACGTGAAAACCACCGGAAAAAGTAACAAAATAAGACGGAAGTATTCTGCAACACAGCTAAACCGATTATAAGGTAGAAAATAGATTACGAACGTCGTCGATTTCCGATCGTCACTTTAAGTAAACTGGTATGTTATAGAATGCGACGTCCGAGACGCGGAACCGGGGCGGCTCACAGAAGAACAAAGAATGAAGGTCAGCAAATTTAAATGAGAGGGATCACTAGACAAGTTAGTACATGGGGGCCGGATCATGCCTCTGGGTGATACGATTTCAGGTGGTGGGAAACAGGTTTAAGTGGGATCGACGCTTGTGAGACCAGGCACGATCGAGAATTGGAGCACGACTGATGTGAGAGCAGGGGTGGAACGGTGAGCTGTACATTAAACAAATCATTCACGTGATGCGGTGGTGAGATGCAGTAAGGGGCCTAGCACAAATTGTGGGAGGAGGCTTGTGGGTCGCTGGGATCCCAGCGTGCTCGTGGCTCGTTGGATAGCCTTGGTCGCGTTGCATTAGGACTCACCGTTCAGACCAGAAGCAAAAGCGGTGAAGCAACCAGGCAAACGAAGCACCAGTTGAAATCTGCCTTGCAGAAACCAACCATTTGGATTCCATGTAAGCTGTTGCTTTCCCACACACATCAGCAAGAAGCTCTCGCACTCACACAGACTACCCTATGAATGAATATCCTCCGCTAGTCCGCACAGTCCAATAGTGTGTGGTGGGAAAAAGCAGTATCCTTTAAAAATCTACAAGCTGGTAAATACAAGAAGAAATCAAAAGCCACGTGTTCCGGTTTGGAACGTGGGATATCAACATTTTAGTTATGACATTTTATTACACTTTTGTGTAGTGTTTCTCAGTCTGCTCATGCTCCTCATGCCGTCATCCAGGTAACTGCACTTTGCTCGTCTTCTCCTCGTTGAACACATGTTTCTGGGGCTGTGAGCCCAACACAGTTTAGGCATGAGTGGGTATTGTTCTTCGCTCTGAAGCGATGTCTTGGATGGCCGATAGGATTCCGTGAAACTTCGTTTGGTCTCAGTCCACTTTTTGTATGGAGCAGCGTTAGATGCCATTAATTTTGTTTCCCAGGTATTAAATTTTACTGAACTGGAGGGGGTGCACAGATTTACCCATGAGCCTGTGAGGATTTCCACCACCTTTAGTCCAAATGCCATAAGTAGATCTTGTCTTCTAGGTCGACTTCCATGTGTTTCGCCTGAGGTTATAAATGCGCCGAACACATTGAGTTCTCAAGGAGTTTCGATCGCCTAGATCACCACAAACCTCGTTACAAACTTGGGAACTATGGGTTTGGTAACCCTATCCTGGACTAGATACATTCACTGTCGATCCAATATCGCTTGAATGTGCGAATTCATAGCACTTTGTCCGACGCTATAGCGGTGCAATGTGGCGTCACTTAAGGTTCGGTACTAGGAGCATGGCTATTCATACTGTTCCAAGACGATCTCGCAGGAGTGCTGACTGTTGTCGTCGATTCATGACGATGTTCTTAATCGCACTTCATTGGCTAGTTGTAACTCAGCGACTCGCTTCTCATTGGTTGTGTAAAATTCGGGAGGTTAAAATTGATTGTTCTTATGCTGGGTCTGTTACCACCTGGTTGAGTACGGATACACGTCCTACTTTTTCTGTTGCCTTCTTGATACAACACTAGCGACAGTATTCCTATTCCGCGGTTAAGCAATCGCGTAGACGACCACATATCACTGCAAGATTATCTAGACAGGGCTTACGGGTAGTCGGCGCAGAATATGCGTGTGTTCAAAGCTATCAAACATAAAACAATGTGCAAACGCCATCAGAGCCACGACGAATATTGACTAGGAGGACACGTTTGATAGGGTGTCTCCCACGAAAGTGACCTTGTGGTGTTCGTGTATGACAATACTGGGTGCACAGTACTGGACGAGATGGCAGAGAAAAAAGCCAGCCAAAATTTAGACCTAGTGTGGAATGCGTTTGACTGGTTTTATCCTACTTTCTGTTTGCGAATGCTCGACGTGAAACCACGTATAGAATACTCCATTCAAGTATGAGCCCATTAACATAAACTAGGTTACTGTGATTGTGAATCTACACTGGAGGGCCACTATAACTATTAAGGGATTACTCCATCTTCATTACAAGTTTAGAGTAAAGGCTCTAGGACTTTTCGGTGAGCAACATCGTCCTTAGCGAAGTGATCTCATGTCGGTATATCAGATCCTCAAGGATCCTGAACACCCCTGCTGACCTTTGTTGGATTACAGTCACAACACCACACTGAGAGGCCATCGTTTGAAATTAGCGACATAGGAAAACAGGTTGGAATGTCGCGGGTAGGTTTTCTCCATTTGTGTATATCAGCCGTGGAACACTTCTAAATTCTAGCATCGCCGCTCCTAAATTAGCTGAACTCAAAACTTCGCTTTACGATGTATCTCACTATCTAGATTACATGCTTTAAATCAAGTTTTGGGGACACAGAACTACGTAACTAAACTGGATGTACAAGTAAGAGTCTGGTAATTCCATTGCTACCCGTATTTTTCTTGTTACATTCAGTTTTTGGTCTCATTGATTGTACATAAAACCTGTTGAAGGTGTTATCTTTCATCCGTCGTTAATCCATTGTTACGTATGGCTTACAAACGAGACCAATGGGCTTATTACAATAGTAGCCAAGTGGCATTACCTCTGTAAAGTGTGTTTGACGTAGTCAGTTCTGAGTTAAAGTTCGTTGCAATACGGGGATCCAGGAGCTACAGGGAGGCCGTAGCACACAGACCGGTTCGCTCTAACACGACAGCCAGACGTATATTGCAACCATTCAGTTTTGGTTGGGTGTAAACGCCCTACGCAGACACGGTTGACTAGGACTTCTAGGCCGGACTTTGGAGTTCCGCTTTCCTTATTATTGGTACTCATTGCGGCTGCGCAGCATTGAAGCTGTAGTGCAAAGACACAACCTGCGAATACTGTTGTTCCTGTCGATAACGCGGAAGTGTTTAGTCGAAGAACTGACTTAATAGGGACCATGTTGTTGGTCCGCACAACGTTTATCTGATCCAATGGTTTCACGCCAGTGTTTTATGCCGATTGTTCATGTGGCGGAGTGCAGAATCGGCCTGGCTATCTTTGCCATGCAATCCAAGATAGAAACATCGAGATATCTTCTATATAAACCACGCCGTACCATTCAAAGCAAAATTCACGGTGCACAGTAATAGAGTGAGCAAACGGAAACAGCAATATTGAAGTTCAGTTCCGAGCTACTTAAATTTATCGATAGACAAGTGTTGTATGTGCTGAGACTAGTCAAAGTAGACTCGGATTTGACGGAGATGGCGATATTTTGAGCAAATACATCTGGACGCAGATAGAAGGACAAGATAACAGTTGGTATGCACATGCATCGGAAGACCCAAAAAACTGCACCGTGTCAACGAGGCCCAGAGTGGACCCAAACTGCGGAGGCCTAACACTCTACATCCGATCGATTCAATGGATGGCACTGCTACGAAAGATTGCGCTTTTCAGACCTACCTTTGGGTAAATAATTAAAGCAAAACACTCACTTGAATTCCATAAAACGTTTCTGCGCCTGGAGCCGACGAACATGAGCTTGAATCAATATAGCCGCCTCAGTCGATCTGCCAGGGCCTTGGAAACGACGAACCTGTAGTTCGGAGATGTGTCACAGGGATTGGTTGTGTGACCATGAGTGGAGTATTTCAGGGATAAATAAACGATAAATTTCCCGTAGTTGCGAACCCATGATATTGCGTTATCATTTGTAAACCAACTGGTAATGCGCCCTTCCAGACATCGCTGATGACGGGCTCTCTGATCTCAAAGGTGGGGGAGATATCAAACCATCTATGCTTTCAAAGATGTCCGTGACCGCACGAAACGATTATTCGTGAACACAGCTATTATAGTCTCAGTAGGAAGAAACGACGTTCTCGCGCTTTCTTGGATGTGTAATAACTGTCCAGCTAAGTCTAGTTGGGACGAGTCTTCGCAAAAACAATAAATCCTTCTGCTATTCGCTAATGAACCCAGATCCTAACAACCTGCCCAGCTCGGGCACTTTTCTACGCATTAAACCAAGATGAAGTTATCGAATGTGTAGGTAGTTAACCTAGGCGTTTGGCGACCTTCATGAACCTCAGCTACTGGTTTATATATGTGTTCCCTGTTCTAAGTTTCCAACCACCGGGCCTGATGCGTGCGATGAAATTGAGACATTACATTAGGTCACTAAAAATGCTGTATCCGTAAATTTTCGAAACTACTTTCAGCGACAATTGTTTATTTTTATAGGTGATCATTCCACCTTAAAATAGAGGGTCATATCGAGGGTATAACATATTCAATTCTACTGGATGATATTCAACACGGCACAGCTTTTAAAGGCCCCATTAAGCACTCCGGAGCTGAAAAATTACAGATAAGTTTTCCTCTGTGGATTTGCCTGACAGCTTTTATAGCGTCTTAAGTGTTACACGGATGGATATATCGTTTTCAGGGGAAATTCAACCTGCTGCTCTGACTGCACTTTCGGGTGAGTGCAGCAAGTGTAGTTCAGACTGGAAATAGTTACATGTGGCACTCAAACCAGTGACATGGTGCTTTTTTTCAAACGATTCCCTTTTGTTTTTATCCTCACAGCATCTTGCCCGCGTCAGGCTTTAGGTAAAAGTGAACGTCACCGGTGACTTTCTCAGTCGTGTTACTATTGAAATGCTCAAAGCAGCCTTTCCGGTATTTTAATTAATGCATAGGGAATAGACGCAATTGTTCAGGTTACACTATATCCCACCTTTCACTGAGAATTGGATACCCCCACCTATCTATGTTTATGGACAAATGAAAACTGTTGAGTGCGGTCTCCGTATGAATCATGAATTCAGGTTACCGACTCTTTCTTAAGTAACTTGAGGATTCCCATTTATGATTCGTTGGAGCAAATGTCAATTACCGATGGCTTTTCTGGCATATATATGGATCTATTAGCACTACATATCTTGTGTTGAGACTAATTTATGCCTGTGTACGGGGCACGAATAATGAGTCGATTCAGTGGTGTTTCCATGACATAACTGTTACCTCTCCTTTTGTCGGTTGATTGATCACTTCAACTATCTCTTTGGCATTTTCCACACAAGAAACAAGCTCCAGCTTCGGCATTGCTTCCAAAGTTTCGGCGTACTTGTTGGTTAGGTCAAGCAACCTGTGTTTAAAAGAAAATCATAAACATAGAGTGAGACCAAGGTGAGCGAACATGGAGCAGTTGTGTTACATTGGTCACTGATATTGATTAGTTAGTTCAGCCACATCACGTTCTTATTGGTTTTCCTCGCATTAACCAATCAATAGTTCCTCACTCATGCTTTAACTCGTGCGTCATGTGAGCCATGTCACATTGCTTCGCCCGATACACCTTGTTTTGTACTAAGTCTTGTTCTTGCCCAACTGCAGTCTGGGGGTCTTTGCCTGAATTCGTTACTGTGTATTACTGGCGACGGCGATGGGAACTTTTAGGTTGGATGAATGTCAGATCGCGCATCGTTGATGGGGTTTGCCTGTTGCACGGCCCCTGCTTAATCTTGTTGCGTAGCCGAAAACTTGTGTACCAACAGAGATTTCAACACCCTTGGTACAACAACCCTTGACAAGGCGGTCCAGTTATCCGAAATACCTACACACTTAATAAATAAATAAACAAATAAATAAACGTTTTATTCCTCAGCAGTGCGAGTCATAGACCAATTGGGTGGTCTTATCAACATGTTCAACGTGATCACATAATATAGTTAATTATTCGTCTTTTGATCAATGGTTCCCATATGGGTTTTTGAAATGATTAGCAGTTTGAAAAAAAGTAGAGAGATAAAGAAACTGGGAACAATAATGAATGTAGATTTTGCGGAAAGTTCAAGTAAAGTAATACGGTCATCCATGGAACTGTCCCCAGGGGACTTGCTTCCATGCAGGGTATTTCCACGATGGGTTTCACTTCCATGCTCCAATTGGCTCTGTGCCTGTATGGCAAGATAGTAAATAGGCCATCAGAACTAGGTGTCAAATTTCTATTTTTAGGGCTGTTTTATGCATACATTATAGGCGATGAAGCCTCAGCCATAGACGATGAAGCCTCAGCACGCATGGACAAAGATACATTGACCAGGCACTCGGTCATTGCATAGCTTGTCAACGCCGCGCATTCCATTGAGCGAAACCGTTAATACATGCCCTGTGGATCACTAACATCAGTGCTACTGACATTCAGAGAGCGTGACCTGGATTCCGAACGTCTTACAGTCGTAAGCCGAACGCAAATTAATGGCTTTTTGCAGGAAGTTGGTCGCGGAATTACTATAACAGGCTGCTTGGGTTGGTGATCAAAGCCCTCAGCGAAATTGCATACTATCGTGTGACACTATTCGTAACGCCTCGAAGTTGAAACCAACGTTAACAAGACAAAGAGGGCATGATGCCTCCTGTACAGGCATCCTTCGCCACCAATTTGGCGTCAGGTGCGAATACACGGTACCTCGTACGCTTTCGCGCGGACTGAGCGTGACGCCATCTATGGTTTTGGAACTTCTCGCTAGCGCACACCCGGTTCCTCCGTGGCTCTGACGTTTGTAATGAAAGCAAAGATTGAAACGTTGAAGTGCATCAAAATCATGTTTAGATTATTCTAAGTCAGTCGTAACAACAATTTCTTGCATACCAACCTTGACTCAGAGAGTGTTACTTATCACAGTTTGCCAAAACAGGTTCCGCATTAAAGCAGGGGTCGACACACCGTGTGCGAGGAGAAAGTCGATTGTGAACTTAAAATGTGAATCAGACAAAACACAGCAACGATTGGTTGCACTGAGACGAGTAACCTTGGAGCGTGGATGAGCACGTGACAAACTGCGCTAGGGCGACAGAAGCATTGGTGAGGAAAAATTAGCGTACGAACAGCGTGTGCGCACTTCCAATCGTGGTTCGGAGCCGGAATCCCTGGCTGAGGAAACTGTAGTAGGTTTCTTTTCCGGGCTGGGCTACGCGGACCATGTATTCACTCTGGTTCACAAGTACCGCAGACCGTCCATGGCGGTGTTCCTCTACTCTAAGCGCAGCTTCAGTTCAGTCGATCGTCCGGTTTTGTTCGACATATTTTTGAGGAAACACGCTCCCATGATTTACGTGAACTTTCTGGGTACTCCATACCCGAGCACAACGGTTCGTGGCACAAAAGCTAAGGTGCTTTTCCTTTCTAGGCAAACTGTAGCTTGATGAGGAGGATGGTAGCTCGCACCAGCCCTCACGGCGAACTGTCGGACACCATCCCGATAGCAATGGTGCACACCAAGGTTGCCTCATGTCCCAATCTTCGTTCAACCCCTCACACGATCATGGAATTAGACCATACAAACATTGCGGTGCTATACGGGGAATAACTGTTTATTCTGGCGTATGCGGATGAGATGGTCTTACCGTGTAGTAATTGTTATGCGACACGGCCTACCCTGAATGGCCGCCCAAAAATGGTTGCTTCAGTTTACTTATACTCCACACATTCAAAGAGCAAAGCGAAATTGTGAGACATCCAGCACCTCAATAACTGGGAAGTAGTTGACCAATTTGCCTATCTACTGACAGCTGCATTTAGCAACGATGGGTGAGTGATGGCTAGAGCTAAGTCACGTATAGCCTACGGTTGCATCATACAATTGAGTGTTTGGCATCTTTCATCTTAGAAACAAAGTGCAGATTGAAACCGATGGTGATGGCTTGCGCCACATCGTTGAGACTTTGGCGTCTCTGGTCCTTGAAAGGGAGCAGCGCTGATCTGTAACGCCACAGGTAAGTGACCACAGTGGAGGGGAATTTTCCCGCTCTGTAAATGAGCCTTAGCCATCCGCCTGTGAACCTAATGCGCATTCAACTGTTTGCTTAGCATTGTCTGCGCAACCCCGCTTGTATCGGTTGGTCCCGACATATCTACAGCCTGGATGTGTGCAGATGAGCAATAGACCGAGATGGTCAAGTTAGTTTATTAGAACAACGAATGACAGTGATTCAGTTGCATTGGTTTGGTTAAATGATACTTATACTCGGCCGCCGCTTACCAACTAACGCGTTGTTTTGCTTGTCATATCCTGGATGGTGCCAGGTTGGAGGTGAGCAAAAGTTGAGTTGGTAACAGGAAATGCAGTCACTGATGACTAGGCTGGGGGCTGTTGGTCAGCCTCGCTTTGTCGTTTGGAATCCACATGACCAGCCCTACGTTTCGCTGGAGAGGTTACAAGACGTGTCTCGCAGTCGATAGCAGCGGCGCGTTTTTGCTGCCGTGGCCGGACTGACCATTTAAATTGTTTCTCATGCTGCTAGCTGACATATAATGGGTGCGTTTGACGAGCAACATTGAAGGCCGCAAGGAAGATATTTGGTGGATGGCACCATAGCTTTGCACGATATACAACTGTTTGTGAGCCTGTGCTTTTGACAGAATGCAGGCATCTCAGTTCCGATTGTCCGACAATACCATTTGGGGTTTATGTAACCATAGGGGCCTCTTGTTCCTCGTTATGAATCTTAACTCCTTAAGATATCATGGTTTAGCAGCGCGGAACCATATAGCTGTCTTGTATAGCTCTGATATCCCTTTAACTTTTGAACCCCTTGAGCATAGTGCGATTTTATTCGTTATCACACTATGCGCTAATCTCGGTTTGCGCACACCCGTGTCTCTTGGACATGGATGGCTTACTTAGTTGCGCTTCTCGCACTGGTCACAACTGGTCCCACATCATGTGGCGGGGCATTTGATAGTGGATCCGAAGCTGTTTACCTTCGTTGGGTGTGTACCGTAGTTGTGATCTCGTTTTCGACTCATGGCTCCACTTATTTGTTAACGGAACGATGAATATTCAGGCATGCTTGTGTAAAACTCCTGTTGCACTTTTGCACTTGGCTTTTAATTTGAAGTAGATCTTCCTTAGCCCAGTCCACTGTTTAGAGCCGCTGACTTTTTGCTTGTGAATTACAATTCCAGTGTGACTCTAACACTCGTGATTTCCCTTCGTTGTGATCATTGCCATCGTTATAACCAACAACAACACATAAGAAACCTGAGTTGCTGCTTCGCTGCTGCACAACCACGGTGACTTACCGAACGAAGAATAATAGAAGGAAGAGAAGGAGGACCTAGTGTAAAACCTTAATACCGTAAAGCAAGATTCAGGCTCAAAGCGCCTACACCTTGTCAACAACATACCGTCAAAAATATCTGGCTATAGTGCAAAGGAAGGCGGCAACACTGAGACAGATTCCTTGAAAGTTGCAATGCCCCACGTCATAATTAGCAGATAACTTAGCACCAAACACACTTTAAACAGGCAGTCCGACTACGGGACCGCCGCATATACATCACTGGTGCGGACTGCGTGGCATGTCCTGCGACGTCTCGAGCCAAGCACACGGCGGGTCACGTGGACTCTAGCCCTGAAGGCAAGACTGACGAACAACACCGACTTTAATCCTCAGTGACTTCATTTCTCGCTATCAAGTTCATTTTTGCCCACCTCGGGCGTTACGCATCCTACATCCCGTAGACAAAACAAGGCCCTCCTCGGTAAGCATAACGGGGCATACTTAGTAGGTGCCAAGCTCAACTTAAGTTATTCTGTGTTACCTGTTGTCCTAAGCAGCTAGCCTGATTATCACTGTCTAGTACTCCTCTACGCATAACATCGTCGAGGACACGCTTCTGCCATCCGATACCAACAATGTTCCGCAGACAACGATTAGGAAAGGTTTGAGGGAGCCGCAGGTCCTTTGTACGGGGGTTAAGTCTCAGTTCCATAGACTAAGACGACTGTTACTGTGGCATTGTAACCACCGTTCCTCATAAAGAGGAAACCACTTACTGCCGTCATAGAAGTAGCGGATTAGAGAAGGCAGTTCTAGTTTTGTAATATGTGAGCTGACTCCAGTCGTTCTGTGACCTTCGTTGCCGATGTAGCGGTCGTGTTAACTGAATTCACTAACTACCTCGCGTTCCTCGCCATCAAATGTCAAGTGGTCATCTAGTGACTGGTTGTTTTATACAAACATCTTGCACATCGTAGGTGCGAGAAGTATACAGAATGATGGGACCAATCTAGAGAGGTTATGCAGAGATGATTGGGTCGCCCCAACATCGTTAAACCACAAGAGAGTGTCGTCTGCATTATCAAGAGCAACTAGCTTTTGGCGAGGTAGCACATCAATTCCTGTATTATGAGGTTCTGAAAGGTCACATCCCACGATGCAGTCCACGACAAAGACGAAGAAAAATGTGGAAATTGGCCAGCACTGAGGAACGCCACTAGTTGTCCGAAGGGCATTCGTCAAGTCACTGTAGACCCTGACGCGTCCCGTTGTGTTCGAGTATGGCGCACGTAACTGTTCACATATTTGGTGGGGATCCCTTTCTGCGTAAGTCTTCCGTACAAAACGCACCGATCTACTGAATCGAACGCACTCTTGAGGTCAAGGAACACAGCTATCGTCGGTCTACGGTATGCGTGGTACTGCTCTACCATCTGTTTGCAAGTGAATACATGGTGTACCCAGACCTGTGCACGGCGGAAACCTGTACCCTCTTCCCTAATCCTGGATTCTCGTACCTCAGTGACATGAAGAACTCGCTTTGAGGCCACTACTTTTATCAAAACTGGCGTTAGGCTAATGCCGCTGTGATTAGCACAGTCTGTGCGACTGTCCCTCTTGTATATTGCCAATAAAATCGATTCACTCCAGTTAGCTGAGATGGTTCCTTCTCTATAGACATGTTCGAACAAAGCGAGTAGTGCTTTGCAAAGGACCTCACCACTATCCCTAAATAGTGAAGGTACGAGGGAATCCAGTTTATCAGCACAAAAACGATTGAGGGCTGTGATCGCGTGTAAGACCTCAGCCTCAGACGAAGCTTATAAATTAATCGCCCGTGGCGCAGCCTGCACCACCTGAGTAGGATGGGGTCCAAGAACGGGGGATAAACCAGACTGACATCGAAGCTGCTCCACCCAACGAACCTACAGCACTCTTTATTGTTATTTGGGAAGTCCTCGTTGCCACTGACTGTTTCACTGACGCCCGGTTTTCTGGAACTTTCTGTGCGGATCAGTTGGAAAAACTTGCGACAACTACCCACTGCTCCTGTTTCCTCCATTTCTTGAGTCCAACTGGTTCACCAGGCTTTCTTGTCTGCACGTGTGTTGCGCTTTAGTTCGCGTCTAATCTTTCGTCTGATCATATTGTGCTCAGAGACAGTCGGAAGTTTTCTTCTGGATTCCAACAAGTTTATCGACCTCTCGGATATCCAGTGACTGATGAGGTGAAGAATGCTAGTACACAAGTAGATGCACCTGCATCGTGCATGGTATCCGAGATCCTATTCCCTTGAGGCTAAGTATCATTTGGACATGAGAGCGAAAGTTCGGAACGAATAGCATCCGAATGGGCTTGCCTGACCTAGGGCTGAGATATCTTAGCAGTATTTAAGGTATTCATCCTAGTAGTTTACAAGCTACATAGCACAGACTAGTCCGGAAAAGCACCAGGCGCGTTTCACCCTATTGGGGCTGGTCAGTGGTGCGCATTCACTCGGTCCCTAAAGGGGATCGAATCTATAACCGCTAGAGGCAGATGTCAACTAGCCAGCAGCTTAAACCATTGAGCCGTGGGAGACGTTTGCTTGGCCACATCATTTATAAATTAACTGGGATAGAGCGTCACTTATCTTCCATTGTCACTGACAGTGGCTAGCTCGCTAGATGCTATAGCTATAGCATTTAATTAGGAGAGGCTATTTATGTTATATTATTGGTAAGTAGCCAAATGTTAGTTGTAATACCTTGCATACCTTAAAGATTACTTCTATATCCTGCTACTTACGATTAACTTAGCAGCTGTCAATCGATGGAGACGTTTGATACGCCATCAGTAAAGTTCGTGGAAAAATGACGACGTACCAAGACATGATCAGAGTCGACGCGAGTACTCCAGACGGAGCAACAATCCAGAATGGAATCACACCACCTATAATTTGTGGCAACGTATCCCTTTGGATCCGTCGCAGCCAAACTATAAGTGGACACCAAGTGGAACTTTGGCGCCGGCTGCGAATAAAAGCGGTGCTACTAAGAAACAGCCGATTCTCTGCACATAGATGTAACAGACGCTCGTTATCGTCCATTATTTGGGACTTAACCTATAATTACCCACCTAGCCGAGCTTCTGAACAGCCCAGGCGACCTACTTACACATTCATACCCACAGCAAGGACTATGATATCTGAACTGGTAACACTGCGGAGCAGGGTTTTCGGTTCGTCGTGGTGGAAGGCATCAGAACATGTAATCGGTGCGAGCACAAGCGGAAACCATTGGCAAACAGCGTCTTGCACTGCTCCGTGTAACAATCTTAGTTAATGTCACCAGGTGGGAATACAAGGTGGGATTCGCTAACTCTCTGTGAATGCAACGCTGCTGAGGTTCGTGAGGTCCATGAAACAAAAGACTTTGTATCCACGAATCGGAGTAGACTTACTGAACATCCGATTGGCTCGTAACTTTCTGGATTCTTATTGGCTTTGGACAGCCGCGTGCCTTTCGTGGTCTAGTTGTCGTGTACTGTTAACATTTAGCCCTTTTCATGCCATATGAACAGTGTCATTTTACTATGAGATAAACCCCGAATCATGCTCCTGCTAGTTCGTACTGGTACCACCGTAAATAAGCTGAAGCTGTTACGGTGCCGGTAAACATTACACACAGCAGTGCCGTTCAGCAATCCTGGGTTAAATATATTTCTACAAGATGCTCAAAATCCAGGATCTTGATGTTTATAATGAGTATAATAGGAAGGATATCCAGTAGACACACTCACTGTTTACCATTCACCACGACAGCGGTTATGTTGTACTCCGCAAATAACTGCTCCAATTTCTCCATTACACGAGAAATCCTGTAAGTTGCGTGGAATCAAAACGGGAAAAGGCAATTTGCAATGGGATTACAAGCGCCGAATTTATCAGTACATGTTCACAAACGCATAAGTTGTTTGTTTGTTTGCTATAGTGGTTGATTGGTTGGGAGCTTTTTACATGCGACTAAACTATCGTTGCACTACCTGCATCAACATCTGCTTACGCTATAAAGTGATTCCTAGTTACAAATTATGTACAATCTGGACCTTAAATTACTTATTTGACGCATATGGCTCCCTCAGGATCTTCCACATAGGGAAGAGTAAACTTGCTCCTAAGTGGATGGAAGTTACGTGTTTCCTGCCCCCAAAACAATACACTCCCCTAAGCTTTTCAACCCCGTTTGCACTGATCAAACAGAGCTGGCAGGCATCCAGCCCGTGGCTTTTGAGGTGTCTGCCGAATCCACTACCAATTCTCTCCGAAGCTACCGAGTTGCAGTGACCAACGCTTGTCACAACGGTTAATAGATTATGAGTGGGGTCATCTGGAAGCACTCGTTGTACGAATTGCTTGCAACGCACAATCTCAATGTGAACCGCATTTCGCATAGAAGTGTGTATTATTCAATTCGATCACTGGGACCGTAACTGAAGGAGATGGAAATTTCTTGTTGATCTCATGTAGCTACATGAAGTATTCTGACTGATCAGAACACAATGTGGATTAGCGATTAATGTGAAGAAACCTGACCACAATTCCTGAACAACCCTCGTTCTACCATCGAGACAGGACTCGACCATAACGTGGTGCGATGGTTTGCGTGCCTCAGTGATCCATTGAATTTTGCTGGTTGGTGCTTTTTCACCTCTTCAGAATCACTAATATCAGAATGGCCAATGGTTAGAGGCCAGAAAAAGCGCAGTCTCCTGATCTTCCAGGTTGGGATTTGGAGTGTGGGTAGTTCCTTACTCTCAAAAACGGGCTCTCTCTAGTCCAGCACTAAAACCCCGTTGCTTTGCGGTAAGGTTTTTGAACCAAACACTTTGGTTGAGAACCCTAATCATTCTTCTGTCTAGACCCTGGCAACCTGACATTATTCTACCCACGCACTACAATGAATCATCCTACTAACAATTTACTGATGCTATGTGACTGGTACATACGTAAACATTACCAAAGCGTTGTACGCGCATTGTTTAAGCAAAATGGGTGTTTATGGTAAGCTGTCGCCACCCTGCAGTATCCCCAACATTGGGAGACAAGGTTGCCCGCTATCACCTTTCCTCTTTAACGTCGCTATTGATGAAGTCATGGAAACGGCGTTCGCTGGACACGACCTAGAAGGTGTGGAGCTACTTCCTGGTGAGCGACTTCTTGACTTGGAGTATGCGGACGACATTACCCTAATCTGTGACAGCTCCCAAACATGACAAACAGCACTGGACCGATTAGCACTGGCTGTCTATCGTTTTGGGCTATACTCTGCTCCATCGAAATGCAAAGTACTTCTCCAAGATTGGCAGGGACCCAACCCTGCGCTAACGCTTAGTGGTGATCTGCTAGAACTCGTTCAGGAATTCAAGCACTTGGACAGCTTTATTAGCGCTCCTGGGATCGAAGATGAGGTTACGAACCGTATATCAAATGTTCGAGGTGCTTTTGCCAATCTCCGCCATCCGTGGCGCGGACCCGACATTACTCTGGCCCTGAAGGGCAGAGTATATAACGCAGCCGTCCGTTCAACCCTCCTATACGGTCGTGAAACTTGGCGCATCAGTTCGACAGACATAAAGAGGCTCGTCACATTCGATCATCGCAGCTTAGCTCATGTCTGGTGGGAGCACCGCGTGAGCAATGAGCGTGTTCGACGTCGCGTATTTGGTACAGGAAGAGCGTGTGAACCGCTCAGCATCATTATATCACGCACCACGCTACGATGGCTGAACCACGTGTTACGCATGCTAGCACACCGCCTCCCGCGAGGTGCATTGTTGTGCACCCGGGGGTGCGGTTAGAAAAGAAGGATGGGAGGTCGAGCGATGATTTTCCCGAGAGGAATGAAAACCCACATACTGAAACTGGCGTCGGTTGGTGCATTCCGACTGCCTGGCTGGAGTCCCAAGGACAATGAACACGTTTGGTTAGACATGCCAGCTGATATGGCTAGGAGTCGGCCCCAATGGCGTTTGTGTTGCGAAGTTATGTGTCCATCCCGCTCTAATCCCGATCTCATGTAGAATGTGTAATATAATAGTTAACATCATATTTTTGCAATGTAATTCGTATACTTTGTGTTGTATTTTTAGTCGCATATCTTTCGTGTTGCGGAACATTATGTAAGGTGTGTTTCTCACCCTTAGCTAACGTGTACTGATAATGTTGATGATGTACCCTCGTCATGGGTGTACAAGGTGTACTTCATCAACACTTTTTGAATAAACTGCTGCTGAACATCAGGAGATCCGTGAAACGGAAAATCGGGCGTCCACTAATCGTATTAGGCTCACAAACACAGCGGTAATGTGCTTTCAAAAGGCCGCTTGGACTCTGTTACGACCAAGTTTGGAAGGCTTCGCGGACCGATACGCGAGTCATTTTCCCGAGAGTAGGTACTGGTTCAAGAAGTGATTGGGCCTATACATGGATGAAAGGTGTGCATCCTAAATCATTTCCAGCTAATTTTGCTATTTCACTTGCCGCAAGCGGATTCAACACATTGTATTGTGACTGACTCAAGATTACAGTTTGGAAACGATCAAGTTTATACAATGTGTGCCTGTAGTGGAGGACTTGCCTGGGCCACAGACGACTGTAGTGTTCTTTAAAGTCCTGAAACGTAGCACATCGTCGGTCAAACACTCCGCATTCGACGCGTAACCAGTGCAATGAGTCATCCTCCATGTTAGGTGCAGGGGTCGATGGTGGTTGCTGAAGCGTAATCGAACGGAAACCAGTAAAATTAAACATTAAAAATATAAATAAATGATCAGCCGCACGCCGTAACGGCGCTTTGCCGCCACGCAACCACCAACAGTCGCGCGTGGCTGAGTATACCGCGAGTACGCCCGCCCCTACGCGGACTTGAACCGATGACCTTGTGGTTGCAAACCAGGCGCGCAAAACGCACGGCCACCGACCGACCGGAAACCAGTAAGTAGGTGACGTCTATGCTTCTTGCATACATTTCTGGTTGTGGGAATTTGCCTCCCCTGGTTCTGTTTTATTGCTTTTGATATACCAAATGTTATGCGATATACGGAAAATGTAGTATCATAGTCTCTGG